TCGAGGACTGGCAGACGTCGGAGGATCTCCTCGTGGAAGGGGCCACGCTTGCGCCCCCGATCGTCGGAGCGATCTCCGAGCGCCGGCCCCCCGACTTACAGGCCACCCCGCAAGCTGTCGTCGCGGGGCTGGAGGGCGCGCAACGCCGCAAGCGCGGACCACGCCGCCGGCGCTCACTCTCCCGCGAAGCGGCGCAAGAAGCCGAGGGCAAAATCCTGCGGGCGAAGGGCCAGCGCGAGACTGCGACGCAACGACCGCGGAAGCGAATCCAGAACCATTTCTACGACGCGATGCACAAGAAGCCCTGCCAGGACGACTTCAATGCGATGCTGGACCAGCACCCACTTCGACGCTTTCCCAAAGTGGCCCCCGGCGCGCCCTGGCCCCCACTGCCTGGCCTCAGCGCTCACCTTCGGGAGCATGGCCGATCATCGAGACGCTGGCTGGCAGCTGGACAACGAGGGATAGGATGCATGCGATGGTCAAGAGAGAATGCATCCTTGGGCGCCGCGACGCTCCAGACAGCCAGCAGCGCTACCTCCCGATGTGCAACGTCTTCCTGGACGCGATCGAGACCGACGAGGACCACTTCCAGGACCCTTCGTTCCTGGCCGACATCGGCCTGCCTGCCTCCGCCCGAGCAGCGGTGCTCAGACGAGCTCCTACGTCACTCGCGCAAGGCGGCCTGCATGGCATTCATCCTGTACCACGACATCAAAGACTTCACAAAGATCTCCACCGACCGGCCCACGAGGCGCGCCCTTGCGGCCCGCGCCGCCGCTGCGCGCGCCTTGGCGAGAGAGGGGAGGTCCGCTATCTCAGTGTGCCCTTGTTTTTCCTCCTGCTTCTCCTGCCCCCCCCCCCACACACACACAACTTCGCATCCCCACCCAGCTCTTCATGTCTCCCCATCCCCGCTCTTCCAAGTCCCCTCTCTCTCGTTCTCCCTCGCCGCCGCCAGGCCGCCCCTCGTTCCCCCCGTCGCCCTCGCCCCCCCGTCCTTCTCCACCGCCCTCTCCTCCGAACTGTTGCCCCCCACGCCCCCCTCTTTTTTCCCCCCCGAGGAGGGGCGGGGGGGAGGAAATGGAGGAAGAGGAGGGGGAACAGGAGGAGCTGATTGGCCGCACCTCTTCCGTCCCAAAGCCACCAGCGACAGCGACGGGAGGAGGAGGAGGAAGAGGAAGAGGAAGAGGAAGAGGAGGAGGAGGGCAGAGGAGAAGAGGGCAGAGGAGGAGGAGGGCAGAGGAGAAGAGGGCAGAGGAGGATGAGGGAGAGGTGGAGAAGGAGGAGCTGCAAACCTGATGTAGGCGTGGGCGGTTTCAGCGTGCTCTGCCCTCTCAAGCCAAACATGCTCGAGAAACACTGAAGACAACCCAACCAACCAACCCACAAAACAAAAGACGCAATTCATCATAATATGTGCACTTATATACACACACACACGCGCACGTACACACGCACACACACACACACACACACACACAGACGCACACACACACACACACATCTATATAGACACACACACACGCACACACATATGTATATAGCTAGACGTAGCCAACCCCTTCTCCACGCGAGGCCAATAGCTGCATGAACGTCCCATACAAAACAACAAAGCACATCGCCAGATATGCACGATCTGCGCTGCCCTCGCCTCCGCCGTGCCCCTCAGGAGCCCGCGAAAGTGGCGACAGCTGCGCAGCTCGTAGCCTCCAAGGTGGACCACGAGGTCTCGACTGGATCCGCGTGGCCCCCGAATCCGCTAGATCCCCCAGGAGCCCACGAAAGTGGCGACGGTTGCGCCGCTCGCGGCATGCCACGGAGCAGCAAAGCCTGAAATGGGCACGCGTGGCCCCCGACCCCGCCGTGTTCCCCGGGAGCCCACGAATGCGGCGACGAGGAGCAACGACGTCCCGTGTGGCCCCGCGTACTCCCCGACGCCGACGTGCCCCTCAGAGGCCCGCGAACGTGGCGACAGTCTCGCGGCTCGCAGCCCCCCCGGGGAGCTGCGAGGTCTCGGCGGGGCGCGCGCACTCCGCGACGCCGCCGCGTTTCCCCGGAGCCCGCGAAAACAGCGACCGTCGCGCGAATTTGCAGCCCCCCCAGGGAGATGCGAGGTCTCGGCTGGGTGCGCGTACCCCGCGACTCCGCCGTGTCCGCCGTGTCCGCCCTGCCTCCCAGGAACCCGCGAAAGTGGCGACGGCTGCGCAGGTCGTAGCCCCCCAGAGAGCGGCGAGGTCCCGTCTGGGTGCGCGTACCCCGCGACCCCGCCGTGTCCGCCGCGTTTCTCAGGAGCCCGCGAAAGTGGCGACGGTTGCGCAGATCGCATCCCCCCAGAGCTGCGAGGGGCGGCGACGGGGCGGCGACGGCGGCGGCGACGGCGGCGGCGACGGCGGCGACGGGCGGTACGGTCGGCAACGGCCGCCCCTGGTCCGGAGACGAGCGTCGGCGACGGACGGCGACGGGCAGCACCGCCCGCAAAAACCGCCCCTGGTCCCGGGATGGGTAAGCCAGGTAAGAACCCCCATGTGCAAGCATTGTTTGGGGAATCGCATCGGATTGCAGTGTGGGGTTGCGATCTCGAGCGGGAAATCCCCCCAGGCCCCCTCCAAAAGCGCGAGCGCGCCGAACGGGAAGATCGCGAGCTCTCGAAGCCCCGCACCGAGGCAGACCCCATCTCCTGGCCGGCGACCGGCTTCGGAGCTGAGCAACAATGCGCTATGACGCGCCTTTTCTGTCATGCCCAAGTTACTGCTCTCGGTTCCTCGGGGCCCAACAAAAATCCGGAGGGAGATGTCCTCAGTGAGGGATCCTCAACGTTGATTCCCGATTAAGAATTCCTCACCATGGATTCTCGTTTAAGGATTCACTACAGAGGGGCAAATCGTAAGGAATCCCTATGAAGCAACCTCTACGAAGTTTTCTGTTCACGTAATCCCCACTAAGCATTCCTCACGAAGGATTTTCCGACTGGGGCTCCCGACTGACGAACCCTTTCTTACAACGATTATTCACGAAGGAATCCTTACTCAGGATTCTTTGTTTGGCATCTTCTATCAAGGATTCCCGACTAAGGCTTCCGAGCTGAGGATTCCCGATTAAGGATTCCTCGCGACGGATTCCCTACTGAGGATCCCGTTCTAAGGATTTCTTGCTAAGGATTCCGGGGTGAGGGCGTCTACTTATGAAATCCACACGTCGGATGTCCTGATTGTTTTCTGTAATACGGATTTCCCACTAACGGTTTGCTTTACAAATGACTCCTAAGGATTCAAGCTTCCATACCAAGGACTCATTACGAACAGTTTCTTGCTGAGGAGTCCTTACTATTGATTGCGAAGGCCTTACTGCCGGTTTCGCCGAACCTCAAGGTGGACAACGACGACGACGACGACGACGACGACGGCGGCGGCGGCGGCGACGATGACGACGACGCTGTCGTGGGTCAGAGTCCTCAGGGATGCTGTTTGGGGTCTCTTCGAAGCGCTCTCGGAGGCCTCTGGGGGGCACTTTTGGGGCCTATTGGGAGTATCTTTGGGGCCTCTTGGCAGCCTCTTGGCAGCCTCTTGGGGCTTCCTGGGGGCCTTTGGGGGCCTCTTCGGGCCTCCTGGGACCCTCTCGGGGTCGAGGGCTCGAAATGTCCGTTCGGTTCCCCCGTCAGGGCACCCTGTTGGAGACTCTTGGAGCTCCGGCGGCCTCTTTGGGGTCTCGTGGGGGACTCTGGGGAACTTCTTCGGGCTCCGGGACCGCACGGAGGGGAAGCGCATTTGGGTGGCGACCCCTCCCCCAGGGCCCGGGCCTGGGACCCCCATGGGACTCCCTTTGCCACCCCCGCGGGGATGGGATCAAAGAAAGGGGTTTCCCTTCGACTCCACTCCGACGTTGCTCAATTTGGCTTTGGATGGCGCGCTTGAGGAGGAGGGCCCAGAGAAATGACACGGAGACGACGACTCGAACGGAGAAGCCCGACTCGAACGGGGAAGCCCCTCATACACGCCGACAGGGTCAGCGGATTTCTCGCTAAGAAGTGTTTCCTTCGAATTCCGCACTGGGGACTCCTTGCCTGGGATTCCTTACGAAGGACTCAACATTAAGGAGTCCTTCGTATGGGCTCCTTTCTGGTCGGCATTATTTGCGATGGGTTTCCCATTCGACAGGAATCACGAAGGGTCCCGATTGGGGATTTCTCATGAAGGATCGCATCCTGGGCTCCTTGCAAGGGGAATATGTTCTAGGGTAGCCTAGTAAGGATTCCCTGCTAAGGATTCCTCAGTGCGGACTCCCCACTCAGGCTTTTCTAGTCCGCCGTTCTTAGCGAGGATTCCCGACTTAGGGGGTTTTATTACGGAATCCTCTTTTACGATCGAGCCTTAGAACGGAATACCTAGCAAGGCTTCCCCACGAAGGATTTTTTGCCAGAAGGATTCTATATGGGGGATGCCTTACCAAGGAGTCATTAAGGAGCCCTCCCTACGGATTCATTGTTCAGGTTTCAATACTAGGGATTCCCGACGTCTGGTTTCTTAAATTGAAAGCCAGATTAAGGACTCGTTGAGCGAAGGTTCTTTGATGATTCCTTACCAACGATTCCTCACCAACGACTCCGTGCTCCTTTCCTCCTCCCTCCCGCTTCCCTTTTCCCTCCTCCTGCTCCTCCTGTTGCTGTCGCTGCAGGCTCTAGAATCTCTAGAATTCATCCTGAGTGCAGTCGTACTCGTCCTACCGAAGCAGACCCGATGCAGGCTTCGGCGGTTTGGGCGGCTCTTCCTGATCGAGCGGAGGAGGGAGGAGGAGGAGGAGGAGGAGGAGGAGGAGGGCGAAGGAAGAGTGCGGAGAGGATGAGGAGGAGGAGGAGGGAGGGAGGAGGGAGGAGGGAGGAGGGAGGAGGGGGAAGGGAGAAGGGAGGAGGGAGCAAAGAGCAGGGAGGAGGGAGGAGGGAGGAACGAGGCAGGAGGAAGACAAGGACGAAACGGCGAAGCCCAGCCCACCCCGCCCGGCAGGCTCGGCCGCGCAGTCGCCCGCGCCATCGGCGGCGGCCCCTTCGCCGCTGGCCGCGTCCACGCCCTCGCCGGCCTCGCACGAGGCCTCGCCGGAACCCTCGCCGGCGGCGTCGAACAGGCCCGAATGGGGGGAGGGGGGGGGGCTGGCGGCGGGGAGCCCCAGGGATGTTGTCCAGCGGCCGCGCCGCGTCGAAGGCGTTCCGGGCGTGCCCTGGAGCGTCCCAGGCGGCCGCCAGAGGCCCGAGCTCTGAGCCGAAAGCCGGACGACGTCGAGCAGACAGGCAGGCAGGCAGGCAGGAACACCGACAGAACGACAGACAGACAGACAGAGAGTCAAGCAGTGGCGAAGCGTCTTGGCGTACCTAGAACCCTACCAAACGATGTTGTAAGAACCGCTTGTGGTTCCCACGAAATTGTATTAGAACATGTCTGGATGGGACTGTATTGTTTTAGCACATCGGGTTTACGTTCTCAGACTATTGTTTTTGTTATGCGAACTTTCGTGGTTCTAACAACAATTCGTGGTAGGACTATAGGAATGCCGGGACGGTCGATCCCTGTTCAAGACAGGCGGACAGACAGACAGACAGACAGACACAGAGACAGAACGTAGGAATGCGCGCTCCGCATGTTCGCTCCTTCACGCGATGGTGAATAGGCAAACAGACAGACAGACTGACAGACAGAAAGGCAAACAGACAGACAGACTGACAGACTTATAGGCTGACTGACTGACTGACTGGCTGACTGACAGACAGACAGACAGACAGGCATACAGTGAGAGAGAGAGAGAGGAAACAACAAAAAGAGGGCAGGCTCGCGAGAAGGAGGGAGAGAGGGAGGGAGGGTAGACGAGAACGGGCGCGGGGTTGAGGAGTGGGGGGCGCTGTTCTGCGTGCCCCATCTCGACCCCGCCGCTCCTCCTCCTCCTCCTCCTCCTCCTCCTCCTCCTCCTCCTTCTCCTCCTCCTCCTTCTCCTCCTCCTGCTCTGCCTCCTTCTCCTCCTCCTCTTCCATGTCCTCCTCTTCCTCCTTATCATCATCGTCATCCTCCTCTTCCTCCTCCTCCTCCTCCTCGTCCCCCCCCTTCCGTAGACTCGAACTGGAGCATTGCATTCTCTCCGCCCTATTCTAGGCTGTAGTGGAGAGTCCTGGGCAAAGGCTTCATGCATGAATCCTTTGTTGTCTGGCTCAAGGGAGCTCCCATCCGTGCCGTCGAAGTCTCATTCAACCCGCTTTTGTCACATTTGCTTGCAAGCAAAACATTACATGTTCATTGCTCCTCTTAATGTTGGTAGCGGAGTTTCGGCTCCCTTCCACGCCTCCCCCATGGCCCGCCTGGCGTTCTCGCGTCGCCAGGTCTCGACGACATCGGCAGCCACCACTTCACCGTTTTGGACACCCTGGTTGACCACCCTCGTGGATGCCTTGTTCATGTACCTCATCTACTTCAACGGGAAAGTCTGCCCACCATGAAGTGCACCATTCGTTTCACGATAACTCGCACAAGGACAATTTCATCGAGCTCTACAAGGACGGCGCCACCCCGCCGTCCCTCCACCCCTCCTTTCCCAGGCGTGCCCAGACTATGTCTGAGCAGCTCGCGGATCCGACGGCTACTGACTAGCCTACGGGAATCTTCCCAAAGGCGGATTCAGCCGCGTGTAATGAACAGTTGATCTACGCAGCGTTCACATCAGCGGCAACAGCCGAGAGTCCCAAGCCCTTCGCGACGACGTCACGAGAGCCATGGGAAGAGCAGCCGGAGAAATGTGAGAAGACCGTGGAGGGTTTGGTGACTATGTTGTCCGCGTTTCAGGGGACAACGAAACATACCAGGGACGATATGTCTGCGACTATCTTCGCTCCTTTGGAACATGACCTATCGCCACACCCGGGCATTCCCTTCAGTCTGGTAGGACGAGATCCCGATGCGCATTCCTCTTGACGATCGTCCAGCTGGGGGCGTTCAGTAGAGTGACGACACGACGCACGAAGGGCGTTCCCACGACTATGGTGCAGGATGCCCCGGATGCCGGCGACGCCACATCAACGCGACGGAAGATTACGCCCAACACGATGACGAGGATGATCACAGTCGGGGCAGGTGTCCACGTCGGCTCCGAGGCTCACGGTCAGAGCAACGCCGTCGGTGGACCCCCGGCCCCCAACACCTCCTAGACCGATAGGTTGACCTTCATTCTGGATGGAAGGCCATCGGAGTGGACATGTTTACCGCGGCAGCCGCTCATTGTGCATGAACGCAAGTGACGGCGGCTGCAGCGCGCGCCACCTCCGCACCTGGGGGCCCGAGCAGCAATCTCGAGTGCCTTCCCAGCGATGGGCGCGGGAGGTAGAGACTGGTCAGTGGCGAATTCAGACGTCAACGGGTTTCGCCAGGCAGCCCTCGCATCATCGCGACCTCACCGGCATTGCACGTGAAGTCGTGGAAGAAAGCCGCCAGTTGTCCTGAATCCACGAGGGTAACTACATCACTGGCAACCCAGTGCCCCCGAGGACCTCCCCAATGCACAGTTTGGCCGAGCGACGGGGCCAATTGGGCGAGGAGGAGCGCGCCTCAGCAGTCTCAGCAATCATGAACTTCAACAGACTGCCAGAGGAGTGCATCGACAATCTCACTACACGTTTCGACATCCTTTGCAGTCGCGCACAACAAGCTGGTCAACTCATGATCGGCAACGAGGGTCTCAGGTACCTCTTCATGGCGCGCCAAATTCTCAGTTGACTATGACGCTGCGGCACAGGGGCATGGCCTACCCGACGAACGCAGCACAGCTCGCGCACATGAGGGGCCAGCTGAGACGCCCTGGGCACATGATCGAGAGATCACCCCGCGAACTCGCCCCAGCGGTCCACTCAGCCCAGCAGCAGACCGCTCTCAGAGGCACGTCCGCGCCAGATCTGGCTCAGAGCGTCTATGCCCTACGGCCGAATCGAGATGGGACGGCCTGGGCCCATCTGCACTGGGAGCGGCACCCCGCCCGCCCATTGGCGCAACGACCAAGAGATCGACTCCACACACGACTCGACGCTGCCTGCAGCCATCGACCGGACATGGATCCAACTTCTCGGCGCGATGAAGACGTTCATCGTGGACGGAGAGGGCGGCATGACCTCTGCCTATTCCACGGAGGAGATGAAGAGACGAGAGGCCCAGGTGGACATTCGTGCCCAGCGACAGCACGGCCTCTTCATCGAGCGACGCGGTGCTAGCTGCCACGCTACGACATGCATCTTACACCGCAGAGGAACAGCTGGAGCGCGAAGGTATCGTGGCGAACTTCGACTCTATGCTTACTCACGCCATACTTGCAGGCAACAGCCTCGCCCATGTTGGCGGCGTCGGGCCACGCAGCGCCGTCTTCGGGAGACAGCCGTCGCGAGGTGTCTGGCGACTACGTCGATGGCGCCGATTTCTTCTGGCGGGGAAGTGCCGCCCAGCCGATTGCAGCGGCGAGTCAGAGAGATCGCACTGCAACGGACACGCGCTGCCGAGTCCGGCGAGGGCCGCTTCGACGTTGGCGAGCAGGTGGAGATCCATGGGCTTCCGAGCACACAGGGCGCATCAGGCTGGGCTGACCCCAGGACCGCCGCGTCTCTCCATCCAGCTCGAGTAATGGCAACGGCTGCATACCGTCGAACCGACGTAATCTGCAGACTGCAGGACGACAGGCCCTTCATCGGTGCCGCCTTCGACGAGGCGGGCACTGGCCTAGCTAGTGCCGGCCTGGCCTGGGATCGAGTGGGGGGCGTCATCGACCACATCATCCCAGGCCCCAGCGCCGGGACCTTCGGCCAGCGGGGGGGCGCGAGGGGCGCGCAGATGACGGCGCAGACGCGGCAATGCCCGCGCACCCTCGAAGCTCTACGCCACGCGCCCCGCAGATGCTGCGCGGCCGGAGAAATTTGGGAGATTGGCCGGGCTGCGCCCGCAGCCTAGTCAACTGGCGGCACCTTCAGCGTCTAGGCGACGTCCAGCAGAGTCACCTGGGCGGCGCCAAGTTCAACGCCCACGCGCTCATCGGCGAGCAGGACGCTCGCATCATGCAGTTTATCTTGGGCGCCAAGGCGCTCATTGCAGCAGACGCCGGACAGGATCCAGATGGGGCGCTCGATGCTTGCGTCACCGACTTCCCGCGCCACTGAGAAGGGATCGCCAACAGCACTGTCGACCATGCCCGAGGAGAGCGGCGGCGACTTCTCCGGCAACATCCAGCAGGCAACGTGGGCAGCGCGGCGCGAAGTCGAAGGGGCAGAGGACCTGGCCCTGGAGTTGGAGGCGATGGAGAGCGACGCCAGCCAGCAGATGATCAACGCTGCTGTCTATCACGCCACGGCTGGTCTCTGCCGCCAATCACGGGAGCGCGAAAATGACACGGGCCGTTCGAGACGCGAGACGCAACGACAGCGCCAAGGCATACGTGCGCAGTGCCACTACTGCCTATCCGGCGCCGCCCTGAACGACTACGCCACGCATGAGGAAGGAGGATGACGAACAAGGTAGACACGTGGAGCTGCACCTCGACCCAGGCGCGCAAAGCATTCCTGAACCTCAACGAGGAAACGCCCAGCAACTGCGTTGCGGGCACTTCCGTTGCAGCCGTGCTCAGCGCGCATGCCGCCGCCAAGACCGCGGCCATCAGGCGCAACGCCGATCTCCTGGCAAAAGAAGAGGTCCAGGCTGTCGAGGGAGGTGTCCGCCGCCATCCCCGAGGAGCTCCCCATCTGGGTCAAGCGCAAATTCTTCGATCGGTGACCACTCGAGGACGCGCGAAATACCGTGGACTCCAGGCGCGTCTTCAAGTCGAAGCGCCGGAAGGGTCCCGACGGCAAGACCACGCGGATCATCCGTCTCCGCGCGGTGCTCCGAGGCTTCCTCGACATGGGCGCTGGCGCCTTGGAGACGTTAACGGAGACAACCAAGCGGGCCTCTCAGCGCGTCCCGTCCTCGGAGGCGGCGCGCCGCCCGGACTGGGCCCACGTCGCCGCGAGCGTCGAGAAGGGCGTACTTGCGGGGCGCGACGCGTGCCTTCATGCAGGAATAAAGCGAAGCACCAAGCGAGGTCAACTTCACCCTGCGGCCCGGCAGCGCGGCTACCTTCAGGCAGGCCCCCGGCCACGAGTCCTTCGACCAGTGGGCCGAGCACCTGCGCTGCACCATGCCGGGCACGGGCTGCAAGGACGCGCCCCGAGCCTTCTACGAAACTCGCCCAGGCCACGCGCTCGCCAGAGCGCAGCGCCAAACCCACCCAGCGAGGCCCAGAGCTCGAGGTCAAGCATGAGTCGTCCGGCAATCTTATGTTGATAGCGACTCAAAGTTTGTGTTCACGTTGTCTGAGCGCGTCGGCGACCTCAAGATCGCTGCACAAAACGAGCACATCGACGAGCTCATGGGCCACGCCGAGAAGAGCGTCCTTCGGCAATATGAAGGGGACTACGACGATTTCACCAACTGCGGTGTCCATCAACACTGCGGCCCCAACGGGGCCGCGACGCTCGACCAGGACAAGCACATCGACGCCTTGAAACCCATCGGGTACGTCGACCTGGTCAAGGCGAAGCCCGACGAGCCCGCGGGCAGTCCACCACCCACATATTCGCCTCCTCTCTGGGAGCATCTGCATGCGCCCTGTCACCCAGCACCGCGTCGCAGTGCATCTAGTGGCGCTTCGACGGGCCAAACAATAGCTGCTTATACGACACGCCATGCCGCTCAATTCTGCGGCCCTCGCCACGCAGGAGATCAAGGCGCACATCGCATTCCATTCCGTTGAGTGCGCCGGCCAGATCTGCGCGCACAGCGCCGGGTCCTTCAATGGGGAGAAGGAGATGGGATACGGCATGCGGGTCGCCGTTTATATGCGTTTCGGCAAGCGCCGCAGTCTCAGCCGAGGAGATCAGAAGGCTGAGGGGGGAAGGAGATTACGCTATTCCTGAATCCCTGGTCGTGGACCGCATGTCTGTCTTCGTGGCCATCGCCGTGGGCCCTGCGCGTCCAGCATCACTGGGCAGCATGGCGGGCCACCTGCAGCGGCTCTCCGACCAACTCAGTACCAAGCAGCTCACCGATATGCTTTGGTATACTCGAGACGTGGGGGCCGATCCCATCACAAAAGGGAGTATCGGAAGTGAACTAAGTTTGGACGCGACGCGTTGGCAGCTCATGTGCGACCACCCCACGGTCAGATCGAGAGACGAGGGGCGCAAGAGTACCATGCGCAGTTCCCAGCACAACGACTTCAGAGCGGCGAAGGAAAGTGTATCACCTAAAGGATGAGCAGCTGGCAGTTCCATTACATACGTTCCGAACGCAGGGCATTCCATCAGCGGTCGCGCCTCGCGCCCAAAGAAGTTACACCTATTCCAGCAGGCTAGAGATGGGGAGGACTATTCATATTGTGCGCTCGCTCACTCAGTCGAAGGAGGTCTTGAAGTGTGGACCGGTTGTGCGGGCACGATCGGGTATGTTTGTGAAAGAGCCTCGCGGGTGGGGTTCATCAAATTGGCTCTAATGCCCACTTGTCGTCTAGAGTTTGGCACGCTTTCGGGGATGGGATGGTGGCCCATAAGGCTGTGGGACACGCCACCTTCACCGATATCGTAGAGGACCGTTCGTTACAGTTTGAGCTATAAGGCAACATGCATGCTGACAAAGTTGCTAAGAGGGGTGTTATGTTGCACCCGCAGGTTGATGCTGCCATGGTCCAATCAGAAGAGATGCAGCAGATCCAGATCGACATATGTAGATGGGGTGCCGTGCAGGACGTCTTGATGAACCAAAGGAGTTGGTCGGATTCGACTGGAGTGCCCGAGAAAGCTCAGGTCCAGGACGCTGCTAGACCCCCTCCCTCGACCAGGCAGCTCGAACGCGCTTGACCAGGATGTGCAGGATCCATGAAAAAAGCCTACTGGTCCAAGTCGGCCGCGCGTCGGTCGCTGCCCTGTTTTCGCACACACCGCTGTTTCTTGGCAGCGCCCAGCCTGTAGCCTCCCAGCATCGGAGGCACAGGCTGCCATATGGCTGCACGGCCACAATCCCATGATGATGATGTTGGTGGTGATGATGCTGATGATGATGTTGCTGCTCATGCTGCTGCTGATGCTGCTGCTGACGATGGTGATGATGATGATGATGATGATGATGATGATGATGATGATGATGATGATGATCATGATGATGATGATGATGATGATGATGATGATGATGATGATGATGATGATGATGATGATGATGATGATGATGATGATGATGATGATGATGATGAGGGTCTGGGACGGGGCGGGTGCGAGGTTTGGGGGGTGGTGGGATGGGTTATGACGTGTGGCAGGTGCCGGGGGCTATGCATGGACGGGCATCGAATCTGTTTGACAAAGGTGCCCCTGTCAGCCCCACCAAAGATTCAAGGCGGTAGCGTTTGCGTGCCTTACGCGGGCTATTCCCCAGCTGGGCCGAACAGTAGAAGTGTTAAGCGGTCGCTGAAGCCAGACGTCCAGCCCTTGCTGGCATCCCCCTTGGCCGAATTCGGGCCACCAGGAAGGCTGTTTCGGTCCAGGGAGAAGAGGTGCACAACTCGTGGTTTGAAGTCTTGCAGGACTGGGACGTCCCACAGCTCCTGGCCAGCTGGGGGGTCCTCGGTCCCGCTAGCCAGGTTGATGCCCAAGGAGGCAGCCAAGGTGGCAGTGTTTGGCAGGACGGAGGACCGAGGAGGAAAAAGATAAGGACGAGGAGAAGGAGGAGGAGGAGGAGGAGGAGGAAGACCCTCCACCTCGTCATCGGTCCCCCTCCTCCCCCACCCCCACCCCCCTTTTCCGCGCCCTCCTCTCTGGAGGTCCGCGGGCTCCCACAGCTCGCGCCCATCGCAGAACTCCCGCACCTCCGAGCCCGTGCGCTCGATCCATTCCGGCTCGGAGCTGGCGGGTCGACAAAACGTTAGAGGAGAAGGACTTTGACATTTGGGCGTTGCTACTTTTCCGCGCTAGGTTTTTTGTCGCCCGGTTTCGGGCCCCAAGACCATCACAGAGCGATCGAGCGCGAAAGAATACCGCAGGCATGTGTGGTTTAATGGTATCGCAGTTTCGGCAACGTCGGATTTGGTGGGAGGAGGAGGAGGAGGAGAAGGAAACAAGATAAGAAGAAGAAGAAGAAGAAGAGGAAACGATACAGATGCCGCTAACTAGCCTCTCCTCATCGCCACGGCTGCATTCGCCTCGAAATCCGATGCCCGTGGAGTAGCAGCATCGATGCCGTTCTGTCCCAATAGAGGAGGAGGCAGAGGGTAGAAGGAGGAGGAGGAGGAGGAGGAGGAGGAGGGAGAGGAAGAGAACGTGGGAGAGGGAGGAGGATTGCTGCTCACCCTCGTCGAATGATAATAGCACGATGTTCCAGCAGGTACCATGTCTGAACAAAAAGATCAGCTCAAGAACAAATAAGTGGTAGAGAGGAGGAGGGGAGGATTAGAAGGAGGAGCATGAGGAGGAAGGGGAAAGGATGACGAAGGTACTGAGGAAGAGGGCAATTGGAACTGGGAAGTGGAGTGGGAATCGAAAGAGGAGGAGAAAGAGGTGGAAGGGGGAGGAGGACGACCTCATCAACTCTCCACAAACCTTGTTTCAGTTGGAGATTTGGAGATGGAGGGGATCTGAGTCTTGTTGAGTTTGTCAACTCGGAACAGGCTAGTTCGCGCCCGCCGTCACCAGGCCGTCCAGAAATACGCTTGGGTGTTTCGCTGCGCGGATTCAACTATGTGGCGAGCCAGGCGTGACGGTCACGTGGTCCTGGTGATCCGCGACCGCACAGGCCCGCATGTGTCTGGTCTTCCAGCAGCGCGGTGCAGATGGCATTTCACCATTTTCGAAATTGATCGAGACTGTGTTAAAAGTTCTCTCGGCCTCCCAGGACCCCGGGACTGTGGCCGTGAGAAATTGCTCAGGATTAAGAGGTGGACCCGTTTCTCTCGTGACCCACCCTCATGGCAAGCACTTTGGTATTATGACAAAGTGATTTGGTCGCGTGGGCCAGGTTATCAGACAGTGTGATGGTATGACATTCTTGCGTCGGGTTAACCAGTCGTCATGGCAAGTTGATTTCGATTGGTGGCGATTCATATGATTCGGGTTTACTTGTAGTTTGTGAAGGCCTTACTGCCGGTGCCGCCGACCCTGAAGGGGGAGCCGGAGTCGTCTGGGAGGCAAGGAATCGAAAGGGAAAGCTTCTGCCAGGGAGGGGTGCTCCCCCACCTGGGGGGGGTGACAAACCCCAGGAATCCCCCCCCGCACCCGCCTCCTACCCCTCCCAGGGCCCACCCCTCCGGCGGGGAAGGAATCAAAGCGAAGAAGGGGCTTCCATTTGACTCGATTACGACGTTGCTCGACTCCCCTTTGGCTGAAACGTTTGAACAAGAAGGCCCACGGACAGGGACAGGGGGGAACGTTGACGGCGACAACGACGACGACGTCGGCAACGACGACGACGATTCAAACGGAAGAGCCTCTCACACACGCCTACAGGGTCGGCGGATTCTGTCAGTTTCGTATCAAATTTAGTGTTTACGCACACCGTTCCAGACATAGTGTTGCAAACATAGGGTTCCGCATATAGGGTTTCAGACGCATTGGGCTCCAAACTCATAGGGCCCCACGCATATACAAGGCAACACATCCACACACACACACACACAAAGGGTTCCACACATAGGGCCCCAAATATTGCACCGTGTAGATTCTCCTTTCTTGAATGTTAGGATCTACCCCCCTCGATTCAACCGCCCCCCTTTCCGTATAACAAGTTACACATACGATTATGTCCCAGCGTCCATTCGAAATATAAAAACAGACCATCCCAGGCAGGCGGTAGCACTTCCCCCCTCATCTTCTGCTTATATTTATATACACACATATACGTACACATTTATGCGCGCACACTCGTGCACTAAAACTCATTAGTTTGTTTAGACCCCTTTGCAAAATACGTAGCACCCCGCAATTGCGGATAAGAGTGAGGGGGTGGGCGCGGGCGTCGAGCCGGCGGACCTCGTGGCCCTCACCTTCCTTGTCGATGGCTCCCTCCTCCTCCTCCTGCTCCTCCTCCTCTTCCTCGTCCGCGTCCTCGTCCTCATCGTCGGGGATCGTTGGTGGGCCAGCCGGAAGGAATGCAAAAACAGCCCGCCGCAGGCGCCGAAGTTTTGGCTTGTTCAGTGAACGTAGTTTGGGTCGCGGGTGGGGCGCGGGCTCTCCACCTCCACCTGGAAGGAATTCAAAAACAGCCCGCCGCAGGTCCCGAACATTTTGATTTGTACACTGAACGCGGTTTGGGTCGCAGGTTCTCCACCTGGAACGAATGTGGAAGAAAACCGCCGCAGGCGCCGAAGTTTTGGCTTGTTCAGTGAACGTAGTTTGGGTCGCGGGTTGGTCGCGGGCTCTCCACCTCCACCTGGAAGGACTTCAAAAACAGCACGCCGCAGGCGCCGATAATTTTGATGTGTACACTGAGCGCGGATTGGGTCGAGGGTGGGTCGCAAGTTCACCACCTGGAACGAATGCAAAAGAAGCCCGCCGCAGGCGCCGAAAATTTTGGGTGGGTCGCGGGGCGGGTCGCGGGTGGGTCGCGGGTGGGTCGCGGTGGGTCGCGGGTGGATCGCGGGTGGGTCTGCGGGTGGGTCGGTGGGTCGCCGATGCAAAAAAAACCCGCCGCAGGCGCCGAAGTTTTGGCTTGTTCAGTGAACGTAGTTTGGGTCGCGGGTGGGTCGCGGGCTCTCCATCTCCACCTGGGAGGAATTCAAAAACAGCCCGCCGCAGGCGCGGATACTTTTGATTTCCGCACTGAACACGGTTCGGGTCGCGGGTGGGTCGCAGGTTCTCCACCTGGAACGAATGCAAAAGATGCCCGCCGCAGGCGCCGAAAATTTTGGGTGGGTCGCGGGGCGGGTCGCGGGTTGGCCGCGGGTGGGTCGCGGTGGGTCGCGGGTGGGTCTTGGGGTGGGTCGCGGGTGGGTCGCGGGGTGGGTCGCGGGTGGGTCGCGGGTGGGTCGCGGGTGGGTCGCCGGGGGGGTCTCGGGGTGGGTCGCGGGTGGGTCTCGGGTGGGTCGTTGGTGGGTCGCGGTTGGGTCGCGGGGTGGGTCGCGGGTGGGTCGCGGGGTTTGTCGCGGGTGGGTTGCGGGTGGGTCGCGGGGTGGGTCGCGGGTGGGTCGCGGGGCGGGTCGCGGTTGGAACGACGACAACAACAAACAACAACAACAACAACAACAACAACAACAACAACAACAACAGCAACAACAACAACAACAAACAACAAACAACAAACAACAAACAACAAACAACAAACAGCAAACAACAAACAACAAACAACAAACAACAAACAACAAACGACAAACGACAAACAACAAACAACAACAACAACAACAACAACAACAACAACAACCACAACAACAACAACAATAATCCGCATCGTGGAATTCCACTTCGGCCACGCACCCAGGGACAGTGAATGACCGTTCGGCTCAGCCCCCTCACTCTGATTAGACAAAGTGCACGCGCGGGTCGTGGCGCGCGCATACCGAAATCCCTCAAACACCTTAGGGTTCGTAAGGATGTCAACATCGAGTGTCCCGAACACATATAGAAACACACAGCTTCGCAACCAAGAGTTTCAAAAAAAAAAAAAAATGCGCTCGGGCTCTTGCGAACCCTTTATATATACATATATATATGTGTATAAACATAGTTGCCCAACATGCTCACAGCTTACTACCAAGAGGGCCTCTCGCGCGCGCATGTCAAAATCGCTCGAACGTCCTTGCGCGCGTGTTGTCGCAAGAAACCCTTGCCAAAAACGGGATGAAGTGCACACGCGCGCGTCGCCGCGCGTGCATGCGGAAATCCTTCTAACACCTTAGGTTTCGTACAGCTTTCAAAATCGGGTGTCCCGAAAACATATAGGAACACATGGTTGTGCAACACCAGTGTTCAAAAGTATCTGCGCTCGCGTGCTTACGAATCAAAACCATCGGCGGTTGCTTCAACATGGCCATCAAATACTGTCAAACGGGCCTCTCGCACCGCATGCCGAATTCATCCGAACGCCCTTGCGCGCGTGCTGGGGGGGCAAGATCGGTGTCAAGTAACACCACGCGGGCCACTCGAGCGCGTCGGCCGCACGCGCGTGTCAAATTCCTTCCGAAACCTTCATCACCTACGCGAGGACATCTTCATCGTTATCGGCGGGCGCCATCAACATCGGCGCCGTCATTGGCCTTGCCGTCGTCATCGCAACCATCGTCATCATTACCGCTACTTTCATCATCGTGTATACTGATGTCGGCGTCGCCATGCGCCCGCCCAAGCCACCGATTCGTTCTGAAGCGCCTGTTGGGGAGTGCCCACCGGTCAGCGCCACCGCGGTCGCGTCGGTCGCGCCGCACTAGTTGGCCGCTGCGCGCGCGAGCATGCGCGGGCTAGCGCGGCCGCAGAGATACACCAGCCAACGCCAAGCACTCATCGCAATCACCGTCGCATAAGTTTTGCAATCCAAATTGCGGGTGGGTGGGTGGGTGGGAGGATTGCGCGAGCAGTTGAGTTGACAACGCATTGTGAGCATTGGCGAATTGCACCCCATATCGTCGTTGTCGTCGTTGTCGTCGTTGTCGCTGTCGTCGTCCTCCCTCCTCCCTCATCGTCGTCTTCGTTGGCGACGTCGTCCTCGTCTTCGTCGTCGTCGTCGGCGTCGGCGTCGTCTTCGTCGTCGTCGACGTCGGCGTCGTCGTCCTTTGCGCGAGCAGTGGAGTTGACAATTTCAAGTTCGGCGAGTGAATTGCACCCCATAGGTTGCACCCAGCATGTCTCACCCCAAATGTTGTTCACAAAGATCCCACCCCGCAGCATGCACCCACCAATTGCAAACATTATCCTGTCTGGGCTCCTTTGGTATCCCACCCTGCTGCGGTTGTGCGGTATCGAGACTGGTATCGAACCGCTCGGTCAGCCAAGGATCGCTCGTGGCAGCGGATGCAGGCGACCACCTCGCCTGCCGAACGCTCAGACGCCAGCAGCGCGTCGGCCCCACGCAGCGGCTCTGGCGGAGGCCCCAGCGGAGCCCAGTGCGGCGGCGGGAGGGGTACCGCGTCTGCTGCCGACGGCGCGGGCGAGGAGTCCATCTCCATGACGGACTTGGGCCGCCCGCAAAAGTCAGGCCCACAAGGTCTCGGTGGTCATGGTTGAATGTTTTACGGCGCGGCTGGACGTGAGCAAGCACAGTGGCCACATCAAGTAACACACCAGCTTGCCAGCAGGTGCCCCGCGGAAGGTTGTGTTCCCCCCATGTCCCCAGGGGCCCACAAAAGCTCTGGGACACCTTGGAACCTTCAAAGATCGTCGAAGTATGTGCCCCAAGGTTCCTTCTAGCAGCATTCACGATCGTATTTGTCTAATGCACTGGATTGTGCCGTTTAAGCACGACGATAATGCTCGTCTTCTTCAAGTTTCAAAAAGTTTCGGTAGATTGGGTGCGTTCTGACCAGAGAGAAAGAACTTCAAGCCATATCCAGCCGTTGCGACGAGGAGCCCCCCTGGAGGCCCAGGAACTGCGACAGACTACCAAGATCCATCTTCGAACCTCGAACCCCGAACTCCCCCACCAGGACTCTGGCGGCGAGGACCTGGAGCTCGTGGGCGACGTCGGCACGGGAGCGCGCAGCGCCAGCGGCGAGAGCGGCGAGGGCGGCGGCCACGCGGCAGCCCGGGGCATGCGGGCCGCCGCCGGCCGCGCCGCCGCGGAGGAGGCCGAGGAGCTGCAGTCGGTCGAGGAGGACCTCAGCCGATCGCACAGCTCGTTCGAGGCCAGAGGGGGGCGAGTGGAGGCAACGGTGGTTGGCCTTCGGGGGGCCCCTCGTCGCCAGGGCTGGGCGCAGCTCGGGAGGCTGGTGCGTTCGGACCCCGGGACGGGGTCCGGCCGCCCGCCCGGAGACCGATTCTGAGCCGCCGTTGTCTCGCCCTGCTTTGATCGAGGGCTACACGGAGTCCGACCCTAACCGGAGCGGCGTCGAGGAGGCCTCGTGCGAGTAGTTGGCCCCGGCCTGAACGCCTCTGTTCCCGGGCCGAGCGCCTCTGCGCGCCAAGGGGTCTGGGGCGTCCAGGGGGGGCGGGTAGCAGGGGGGATATCATTTCGTGGCTGGGGCCTTCCGTTTCGGCGACGGCTGTGGAAGCATGTTGTCCGTTCCCATCTTCTCCCTCAAACGAAAAAGCTCGTGGCCCGGGACATGATCCGAAGAAGAAAATTCGGCATGAGCACAACCCACAACTTGTCGGAGCTCCGCGAGAATTTTCCCGAATCTGGGCGTGGGCCCCCCGCGCCTCCAGCGCCGCCCCTGGCGCGCTCCGCGCGGGTCCAGGCAGTCTGCGCGGGCCTTCGCGGGTTTGTGTTTGCGCTTGTCCTCCCTCGACTGAGTTTCATGGCCCCCTCTTCTTTCGGGGCTCAAGAGACGGGGGTTGATGCGAACGAAGGTCAGTCAGGGTGATGGATCTTGCAGGATCCTGCAGGGCCAGGGGCGCACTGGCCCGGATCAGGGCGCAGGATCCCGCAGGAGACTGACGGATCCTTGGAGGCTTGACTGACCCGGGTCTGAATTGGCCCGGGTCAGTAGATCTCCGACTCTTCTTTCAAAGTGTGTACCCTGGCTCTCCCCCCCGCCCCTCGCCCCCAGACATCGATGATGTGATCTGTTCAGTGCGCGGCCCCGAGGTCCCGACCCTTTGCCCAGGGCCAGTTTCTCGCTCCTAATCTGTGTTTGATGGGCCCAGAGCCCGAGAACGGGAACAGGCCCCACAGGCCGAACACGAGGGAAAACGGCCAGGTTTTCGCTTCTGTCCCAAATAAAGAGAACAAACATAATAATAGTATTAATACTAGTAGTAGTAGTAGTAGTAGTAGTAGTAGTAGTAGTAGTAGTAGTAGTAGTAGTAGTAGTAGTAGTAGTAGTAGTAGTAGTAGTAGTAGTAGTAGTAGTAGTAGTAGTAGTAGTAGTAGTAGTAGTAGTAGTAGTAGTAGTAGTAGTAGTAGTAGTAGTAGTAGTAGTAGTAGTAGTAGTAGTAGTAGTAGTAGTAGTTGTAGTAGTAGTAGTAGTAGTAGTAGTAGTAGTAGTAGTAGTAGTAGTAGTAATCATAAGAAGAAGAGTAATGAGTACAATAATGCTAATAATGGTAACGATGACAATAATAATGCGAATAATATGTATAATACTACTAACAATAATAATAGTAATACTATATTATAGATAGATAGATATATAGATAGATAGATAGATAGATAGATAGATAGATAGATAGATAGATAGATATATATATATATAGTAGTAGTAGTAGTAGTAGTAGCAGTAGCAGTAGCAGTAGCAGTAGCAGTAGCAGTAGCAGTAGCAGTAGCAGCAGTAGCAGTAGCAGTAGCAGTAGCAGTAGCAGTAGCAGTAGCAGTAGCAGTAGCAGTAGTAGTAGCAGTAGTAGTAGTAGTAGTAGTAGTAGCAGTAGCAGTAGTAGTAGTAGTAGTAGTAGTAGTAGTAGTAGTAGTAGTAGTAGTAGTAGTAGTAGTAGTAGTAGTAGTAGTATGACTCATAATAAGGATAATAAGTACAAGTGGCACGTGTGTGCCCAGGCTCATACCAAAAAACTGAAAGGGCTTTCGAAGCAGGAAGACACCATGACTGCAGGATCGGAGATGGAGAAGGGGAGGCTGGGGCGGCGCCGCCAGGGCGTGCCTAAGAGAAGGGGAAGAGGCAGGAGGTGAACGCAGAAGAATCTAAGATCGAGGTCGCACTCGAGCGCAAGTGGGGTTGCCACACCTTGCGATATGTGTACCAGGGCCCCCCAGGAAACCTCAGGAGTCCCGACTTGGGTACCGGAAGAGGCTCCAGGAGGCCCCGGGATTGTGAGTGTTGTGTGTGATGTGTGCTCTGTGTTGTGCGTGTTTTCTGTGCGTTGTAGGTGTTGTGTGTGTGTTGTGTTTGTCTAGCGTGTGATGTGTTGGGTGTGATGTGTGTCTCCGTGTGTGCATGTAGTTCTGGGGCCCCAGGAGGCCCCAGGCGGCCTCAGGAGGCCCCAGAAGACCCCAGGAGGCGCCAGGAGGCCCCAAGAGGTTCCAGGAGGCCACAGGAGGCCCCAGGAGGTTCCAGGAGACGCCCAGGAGGCTTCGAGGCGGGGTCTGGGGTACCAGAAGGTACAGAAAGCCCCAGGAGGCCCCAGGAGGTTCCAGGAGGCTCCCAAGAGGCTCCGAGGCGACCGATTTTCAGAATTTCGAGGATGTCCCTAGCGAAACGGCTAGAAAAATCGCGGACGCCGCCTTCAATTCATCGGCTCTGAACTCTACTCCCTCGGAGAGGTGCGTATGAGAATTACTATGATGCAAAATGTCGGAGATCTGGGTCCGCGCACATGCCTCGGGGCATGGTCTGCGAGGATCCCCCCTTCTTGGGCGCCCCATCATGGTTGCCCCCGAAGGAGGGGGCTCCTGTGCCCGGGCGAGCGTCCGCGGTGGTCCGCGGTTGGAGAGTTTCCGCCGGGACTCTGAAAAGAAAGGGCCACCGATGTCGCATCCGTTGAAGCACCGGCATGGGGAACATGTTCTAGACGCCTCGCGTAAACCCGCCAGACGCCCATTCAGAAACGCTGCCCAGGCGAGTTGCCCTGATCAGGAATGTGGAGGAGCACGCAGTGGAATAAAGGGTTGGGAAAGCCGTCGTACTCCAAGAGGGGGGGCATGGAGGAGGAGGAGGGGGAGAGGGAGAGGGACGGGGGAGGAAGGAGGGAGGAGGAGAAATAGGCGGAGGAGGAGGAGGAGGAGGAGGAGAAGCAGCAGGAGGCGGGCGACCAGAAAGGCCAGAGGCCTCTTGGATGATTCTCGGAGTCTCTTCGGATGTCTCTTGCGAGCTTCTTGGGGTTCTCTTGGGGCGTCTTGGGTGCCTCGGGGGAGGCTTGGGGGGCCTCTAGGGGGTCTTTTGGGAGCCTCTTGGGAACCTCTCGGGGCCTCTTGGGGCCTCCTGGGCGCCTCTCGGGGCCCTCTTGGGGCACTCTTGGACGCCTTGGGAGCAATCGTGGGGCCATCTCGGAGGAGATCGATCGCAAGGGGGGGTCCTCAATTAGCCCCGCCCCTGTAGAGCCTTTCAATCGCCTCTTGGACCCCTCTTGCTGCGGTCTTGGGGCCGTCTTGGGACCCTCTTGGGCTCCTCTTGGGGCTCCCTTGGGCCTTCTTGGAGCCATCTTGAGGTCTTGGAGGGCCGTCGAAAGCGAAAAGGCGAGAATTCAGAACACAGATGCCCCACATGTTTTTGACTAACTGTGGCTTCTGGTGGCTTCCTTGGGAGGCTTCCTTGGTCGTCTGCGTCGTCGTCGCCCGATCGTCGTCAAAGTATACACTAATTGTCGTTATTGTCGACTGTCGTCGTCTGCGCCGTCGCATGGCTCCTCCTTACGATTTAGCTGTTGCGTTCATTTTAAAGCTAATAACAACAAATTTGGCTGAAACGATCAAGCGGACGACCAGGCGAACAAAGAGTGACACGTTAACGACAGAAAATTCCACAGGCCCTCCTGGCGTAGGCGTTCAAGAGAGACGTCGGACCCCTCCGCGTCGTCTTTCCCCCCTCATTCTGGCCGTCATGCGTGGTTTGCGGGACGCGGTGCGCGCGTTAGTGCTGTCAGGGTTCAGTCCCTTCTGCTGGCTCCTCTTCCTTCCCTCCGACCGTTATATTGCTTCCTCACATGGCATTGCGTGTTGCTGCCGGTGTTTCCTTTCCCTCCGTTCCCCCACCCGTCCCCTCTCTCTATATTCCCCCTCCTTCATTTTCCTTGTGATGCCTCTTCTGTAGCTTGCGATTTCAATGCATCTCGCGAAACCTTGCAATCGCGCGCCTTTTTTGATGTGGCTCGATGTTTTTTTTCTAAAGCGGCGTTTTTTTTTCTGATACCGAGTTTTTCCCTTGAAGATTAAGGGCATTGGCCAGCCCAGCCCCACAGGCGCGGGTTCCCTCCCTCTTCCCGCCCCCGTCCGCCCCACCCCAGCACGCGCATTTAACCAGCGGGGCCAGGTGGCTCACACCCCGCGGCCGCGCTCACCCCGTTGCCCCTTGCTTGCCTGCCTGCTTGCGGCCCCTCCTCCCTCCCACTCCTCCTCCTGTCCTCCTCCCTGCCGCCCTCCTCTCTTGGGCCCAGGGGCCGCTGCCGTGCGCCCCTGCAGGCGCGGCCGTTGCAGTCTTTTCTCTTCCTCCTCCTTCTCCCCTCCTCGCTGGTTTCACTCTATGTTAGAGTCTCCGCGTGGCTGGCGAGGCCCCAGAGAGCGACAATAACGTGCGTCCCAGCGTTCTGTCTGGGGCCCTGGGGCGCAGACGCCGCCGCCACTGCCGCTCGCCCCCTTCTCCATCGCATCGCATCGCATGCTGAAGGCCGTTGTCTCTGCAGCCTATAAACCTCCTCCTCCTCCTCCTCCTCCTCCTCCTCCTCCTCCTCCTCCTCCTCCTCCTCCTCCTCCTCCTCCTCCTCCTCCTCCTCCTCCTCCTCCTCCTCCTCCTCCTCCTCCTCCTCCTCTCCCTCGTCGTCTTCCTCCCACCGTTTGTTCTTTCTGGGGCTGGGGGCCGCGCGTCTGCGCACGCAGGGCTCCGCAGGGTCTCCTGCGACCTCGGTTGGCGCCTCTGGTGGTCTGCCGCGTGGAACTTGGTGGCACAGATGCTGCCGCCGGCTGCACTGCCCCTTCCCCCCTCCTCCTCCCTCCTCCTTCCTGTCGCAACTATGTGTGGTTCAAGCGGCTCTTCTCGGAACCGGTACTGTACCTGTACCCCGTGCTGCCCCCCCGGGCCACATTTCAGGCGCCATCACGCCTTCTCTCCCTACTCTTGCTCACTACCGTCCCAAATTTGAACAATCTTGGCACCGCAGGCCACGGCCCTCGAGAGCTGACGCGCATGTTCTTCTCCGTATCCTCAGCCAAGATGGCAGTGAAGAGCCACCACGCCTCCCCCCAGTTTGGCGCTTCTCCTCAGTCGGCAGCCCCTTCCATGCCTCTTTTTGGCACCTCACCATTGCATCCCCAGTCTACCTACGGCCCCTCGCGCCTCACGGAACCGCCCTCGCCCTCGCTCTCTGCCATTGTGTTTCCAGCCTCGCTCTCTTCCTTTCTGGTTGGCCACCCCCACCAGGCAGCCCAGCTCGGACGGAGGAATCACGATTGGGCGATTCAGAAGGTCCTCCAAGTCTGGAAGGTCCACTTGCATGCGACATTGGGGCCAGGAGCGAACACGGCAAAGATAACCACTATATCGATGACGCCCTTGCGGCTGAACAATTACCCGAACTATCTGGTAGTCTTCATCCCATCACAAACTTGCCCCACACGGTTGTCCCGCACAGATTGCACCAGATGCAGAAGGAGATCGGCAAGACTTTCCCAAACCCCAACCGCCAGAAGATCTTTCACCAAGACAATCCATCCGCGGAGCAGTGTATGTGTATATACATATATTATTGGAAAAATTTGAGAATTTCCCGATCTGCACATCACCAGCCGATGTGCGGGTCCGTACCCGACAATACCGTTGGCTTGATTCAATGTCTGGGCTGCAGCGCAGCTGCAGCGCGGGAAGACGAGGTTCCACCAATAATTCATTCGATATGTCAAGTGTTTTATGTGTCTGAGACAGCCATGCAAAATATGTGCGACTTGATTTCCCGGGGAAGTTTTCGTGACGCTTTCTAGGGATTGCTTTAAGCGTTTCGAAATTTCGATATACATAACAAGCAAGGTTTCCGACCCCGGCTCCCTGCCCGACTCCGGTTTTCGACTGCGATTTCGCTCGTGTATGTCCTACTCCGGCTCCCGACGGCATGGCATGCGACTTCCCAACTCCGGTTACCGACGAAACTGTTGTCTCGGTCTTATTATCTACATACTTTGTCGATTCCCGAGCCCCAGTTCCCGTATGTTGTCCCCGAACGATATCGGCATACACAACATCGACGCTCCTTACGACAATACTACCGATATTCACGAATCCGACGACCTACGACAATTTACACCGCGATTGGCATTACACATGTAATGGGCACGATTGCGGCAGATATACCAGGGTTTCGGCACCGGGTCCGACACAACACATGGGACGATGGTGGGGGGAAATACACAACATTCCGGACTATGGTGGGTATCTTTCGGCACGACTGGTATGGACTTGCGGTTACGACGGTTATTCCGACTCCCACGTGCTATCGTTGTGATATTTAGGTCTGTTTTCGTACACGCTATTTGCACGATCTACAACGTCTCCTATTATATATTGATCTACCGGCTGGGCCCATACAGTGGAGTACGGATCGGAAGCCACGAACCCTGGACCGACGAAGCACTTCGTTTGTTAGGTCTCGGGCCGGCCATAGAACCTCGGTTTCAAGTCTCGACTTCAAGTACCACGAGAATTACATCCACCACATCGGGACCACTTACGACGTCAGCATGGCACTCAACAGCAACCACCAATTACGGTGCCAAACGGTCCGCCCTTTCCACCTCCACCCATAACCCTTTACCCGCCCACTCACCCCATCTTAACTCCCCGTCCCTCTCCCGCCCATGCAACCCCAGCGGAAAGGCTCATCGATGGACTCGCGGAGCCACTCTCCCCAGGCAAGGCTGATTACGAACCACCTCCCCGGGTTGTACCAAGCTCTACGGAATCTCGGGACTCCATTCGGAGCGAATACGCCACCCTACCTCTTTCGCCGAGATTTCCGCCGAGCCCTCGCCCGCCCTCCCCACTCTTGTCCTCACGCCTTTCCGACGATCTTTGCGACGGCGGAGGACGCTGACCCCCCGCCGCTAACCCCTCCACCTGCACTTCCACCAAACTCCCATCAAGCGGTCCCTCTGGATGGACCTGCGCTCCCCTCTGCCCCCGAGCTACCATGTGATGACGCCCTCGTTCCGCCCCCCGTTCCCCCGCCCGGACTGACCCGTCGCGCTGAAACTTCCGAGCCGCCCCCAGATAACCGACGGGAAGACGCACCGACCGTTGCGGGCTCAAGGGCGACCTTATTGGATAGAGCTTTGGGTATCTTGGGTCTCGGCCCCTGACCTCCATCGGGTTCGACTTCAGGAGTCCCTGGCCCGATCGAGGGTTTGCCAGCGCACCCTTTTGTTCAAGCAACTGCACTCGGCCCATGTGACCACACACACCCCCTCCTGAACTCGGGACACCCCTACTACCTCCAGCATTCGGCACCGACACGGGAGATCATGCGGAGCACCTTGGGGGATTTACGTGCGACATTGGTTCTATGAGCGCATTGTGACGAAGAGGCGAATGGTAATATGGGTGTTCTGGAGTGTCAAGTAGAACTCCGAGGCAAACCTCCCATACCACTTGTCGTTGCACCCGAGGCTCCAGAAGACCCACCCTCGTCAAGATACGCCTCCGCGATTTCTTCCAGTGGAGGTGACGCGACAAACGCCGATGATGACTGCGGAATCTTATCCCCACCTTCTCCTTGATCGACTTGCCCGTGCTGCCGTCTATTTG